CAAAAAGTAGCCTGAGTTTAGCCTAAATACTTCTTCTCTTTCGTTTATTTGGTTACGTACTACAATTCATCTTTCTTACTTATATTGAATCGTAGCGTGCGTAGACACTAACTTTCAGTTTTCGGTCACTAATTACTGCAATTTGAACAGTTAGTGACGAAACAAAAATACCTATTTCGGTCGTGGCCGAAAACTGGATTGACTCTAAAATATTTATTTAGTTTTCGGCCAACTTAAAATTGTATGAAAGAATACGGCGGTGGAAAATAGAATGCTTTCTTAGTTTACGTTTACGGCCATTTCATCAAATATTTTATTCACATTGCGTTTTAGGAAGAAGATGCAACAATAAATTTTTTCCTTCAGATGGCTCCCCCAAAGAAATATAATAAGTAAATGGCTTCAGAAAATGCGGACTATATAGATCTCAATGCAGTGGATTACTCAAATCCAGAGTCCAGCAAACCCTGGAAAGGCTAATCGGTGATAATTGAAATAAAGAATAAATATTTCTAAAGAAATAACTAACGCAGACCTAGTTTCCACTAGAAAAGTTTAGAAACATTTTGAATCAACTTTGGCAGAAAAGAAACATAAAAGTTACTATTATAGTGAATGAGATAAGGAAATTGAAACGAGAGTCTTCTCAGATCAATATTGTTCCAGACAGACAGGCCAAGGAATACTTGGAAATTCTCCAATTAAGCAATATAAGACCGCTAAGTCCATTTAAGTCTCCAGAAAGTCTGTGCAACACAGATCAAGATAAAAATATTCTAACTCACGATGTTGTGGTAACTATTTATTCATCTACCGATGCATCTGAATCGTTAATCGATAACAAAATTTGTCAGGAAGTTATTTTGATATTGGTTCCTAAGTATCATTATATGATGTTCTTGTAATCCAAACTCAAATAAGCCTACCAACGACAACAGTACTGGCAATGCCTGAAATGATAATAGATTTCATCAAGATCTCTGAAACTTTAGAAAATGTGTGGGTTGATATTCCAACAAAACAGACTAGTACATCTCTACAAACTAGTGGCACATTGGTTTCAGCACTATTAAATAAAGAATATAGAAATGCAATAGAAAAAACATTTAACTAAACTGCTTTCTTCTGCAGCAATTTCATCTGCGGTGTGGCGAAAATTTTGTGAAGATAAGTGAAAGTTAAAATAGAGAAGTAAGAACAAAAATAATATAAAAAAGAAAAAAATTGAAAAAGAAAAATTAAAGAGTGCTAAAGTTCAAATATGAAAAATAGCTAAATCCAAGAAATCTATGAAGGAGAAAAGGGCAAGAGTAAATTGCTGTGACTTTTGCACCAAATGGATTTGAGATGGTTAGAGATGGTAACAGATTTTGTTGAACTAAAATACTTATGAGGAAGTACAAAATACTCGTAAATGAGAAAGATTTGATTGCTATATTTAAAAGATTTTATTATTAGATTATGATTCAAAGAAAAATGATTAATCATGGTTATTATTTTATATCAAAACCACCCCCAAAATGAAAAAAATTACGTTACGGTTAAAAAATCGAAAGCCTCCCTTTTTCAAACCGTTTTGCCATTTTCTGATTTTACAAAAACACTTTTAAGTTTGTACTACCTCTTCTAATACAGTGGCCGAAAACTAAAATTCTTGTGGGCCGAAATCTAAAATTTGGGCCCGAAAACTAGCGTTTTGCATATTTTTCACATCAAAAATTATTATAAAAAATAGATTTCTGTTGTAGCATCAATGAGTTATAAAAATGAAAACTATATTATATAAGCTACAAATTAACATTAACAGCACTAGGTCAACATAATGGCTATTATTTTTTATTGTACCTTAAAGTTGACAACTCCACTAAAAGGCCGAAAACCAGCGTATCGACCCTAGTCTATCTGTTTCCTCAAAAGACAATCTAAAAGAAATGTAGTAGGTAGTAGGCAAAGATTTATATAGAATCTTTGGTAGTAGGCAAAGATTTATAGGTACCTTTGCTGAATTGATGGATTTTTTGTTTCGCAATCCATTTTTCAAATTCTTAGTCCTAAGATTTTTTTGTTCATAAAATTAATGTATTGCAAGTTGTGGTAATAAATAAATACGTTCTTTGTTTCTTTGTTTCTATTAGCATTGGGCACGTGTACCAAGCAACCCATTCCAGCAATAATAGACCCCAGAAACGTTAGTGAGAATGACAATGGAAAATACCACTTATATTATATTTAACTGAGAGTTCCCCTTGAGCTCATAGGCTGGGAGGTCAACTTCAATTTCTGCTTCTCAAGTAAATAGGGTTATTTCGTATTTCGATGTCGTCATTCCAATTTTACATCGATGTGTACACGTGCAGAGATTGTCTAATTTAAAACTGCTTGCGCTTCTCTTGTATTTTTGACAGATTTTATTACTAATATCAAGCCAAAAATAGTCAAAATACGTTTTATGAATAGATATAATCTACTCATAAAACGTGGTAGAGCCACACTTCAATTGTAGCACGAACGAGTCAGCGCTACCGGGGAAGAATCACGCTCTCACAAAATACTGACGTAAAATAGTAGTCCAAAGCTGTGTTTTGTATAGTGATTGTAGAGAACCGGAGGCCCGTTGTACTGGAAACAAGGCATTGGCGCGAGGACTAAGACGGAATGCCTCTTTTCTAGTAAAAAGAGTTTCCGGTGCTCCACACCCACCATACGAAACACAGCAGCATTAAACTGCTATTTTACGCTGGTATGCTGTGAGAACGTGGTCCTGCCTTGGTTGAGCTGACGCATTCATGCTACAACTATACAATTAATATATTTGCAGCATGGTTCTACCACGTCTAGAACCACCTCTTACCATCAGGTGGACTGTGTGCACGTTATTTACTCTTATACTATTAAAAAAAAGGCGCGCATGTTTAGATTTTTGAAAAACTATAATATGCTAAATTAATGTCACAAAATCTATCAAATTACAAGAGAGACGCGTACTATAGTATAACTATATATATCCGCATATGAGAACATGTCAACATTCGACAATTTCACTTTCGTAACGGTATGCTAGCGTAGAACATGCGTCATCAAATGGAATTTACTCGTAATGTTTTCATAGAGTTGTCGGCCTTATGAAATTCTTCAAATAGGTTTATAACACTTAAAATTTAAACGCTTATTAAGAATTTACAAAACTGTTTAGTCAACAACGTCTGTCTTATGCTACCGTTCTGGCATAAAAACACTGTTTTATTCTAAAAGTTGTAGGCGCCTTTGTAAAATTTCTTGTTATGAAAATATTAATTTCAGTATGTTTAATAATTATTTTTTTTAGTTTTTGTGTTTGAAAATGCATAATCCTGTAAAGTGCTGTGTTCGAAACGAATTTAAATGCTCAAGCATATTAAGCGCTTTTTAAACAAATTTCTTAAATAATACTAAAGTATGTAAGTAGTAAGTAGTAAGTATACAATATGCAAAGAGGAAACCAAAAAATTCAAAAGTGCACACCTTAAATGTAACAGACAAAGCTTGCAGCAAGTAAAGCGGTTTTAGTAGAATTATTTCGTATTATAAAAACAGGAAGTACTACAGCAGGGCTAGTATAAGCAGGAGACAAAAATTTTATCCCCCGATTATAATCACTGACAAGAGATAAAATTATCTTATCCATATGCCAGAGCACGACAATAGGGGAAAGGAGACGTACCTATATCCCCGTTTGACGTAACGAGTAGACATATATACCTTCGACCGTAGCATGGGCCAAATGAAAGAGAAAAAATTATTGAGTTTTCTAAAAGAAACAACTCAGCATAATTTTGTCATTCGCGAAATATTTAGAAACGAACTACGTCAGTTAAAAATAGCTCGTTATAACCGTAATAAAGTAATCAAGAAAAAAAAATATTGGATTTAGGTAATATAGTAAATAATATGTAAGTATTTTAAATATCTAATAAAAGCTTTCAACAGTAAACTACTGTAGGCTGACTTTTAGTTTCCTAATGATATAAACACATCAACAGAATCTAGGGATATTTTATATTTCATCAAATAGGTAGGTACCTAAAAATCTGTGAAGAGTTTTCTGATATAGTAAGTGGAAGAATCATAGATCTTTAATAATAATTAAAAAACATTTCCAATTTTTTTTATTTTAAATAAAAATGTTTTTTTAATTGCCGTAGGAAATTAGTATGATAAAAAAACTTATTATTTTCTTATAAAACTATCAATTTTAATTAAAATGATAATAATCTTATAAAATCTAGTTATTAATAATAAGTGTTGCCACCTCTTATATTAATTACACATCACACGTGTTATTGTTAATATTATATTAATTGTTATTTCAATAAAGGTAAATTTTTTATAAATGTTGGTCACCCTACATTTTTCGATTTAATTTTAACACAGCTGTCAGCTGGGCATCAGGTGTTTCAGAATCAGGTGCAAATTGATATACTTAAGTATGTGGTTAAAGTTTACATTATTTTATTTTATTTTTTTATTATTTATTATTTAGATATGTAATGGAACCACTTTACTGCCTAGGAATTAAACAGTACTGCCAGATCAATAACAGGCTAAGCAGACATTCCATTCTCCTTCCATTACACAGTGGTGATAGCGCATCTGTGAGTGAAGATGCGTTGTCTGATTTGTTAATTGATTAATTGCAGGTGGTCATGAAATTTATAAAACTATTTTTTCTTATTTTATTAAAAATATAACGATGCCAGAAATAAATGATGGGTAGGGACTCTTGCTTCTTGTATTTATTACTTATTTCTTGTATTTGCATAAAAACATGTAATTTCTTTTTTGCAGTTTAAAAAACAACATAATTATAGGTTGGTTGGGTAAACACAAAAATACGGTTATTAAAATCGTTAAAACATTTCGGTGTCATAAACACGATTACATACCTATTGTAAACTTAAAACAACACTTATCAGATATCACTATGAGAAATAACCCAATATTTATAAATAGAAACAACTTACTTTTCATACTTGACGGCATGTCCGTTTTCCTCCCAAAAATGACGAGTTTCCATATTCAAAATTATGTCACAAGACAAAACAAACAAATGATCACTATGTCACCACTATAAACTCACGAATTAATCATAAAACACAGATCACTTGTGTCACATTTTTTTCTTTGCCACTATTGAAACTATCATGTCACTGAAATCCATTCTAGTTGAATTAACACAGTGCTACTAAATTTTGCGTATTCATCAATGAGCTAATCAACATTTACGTCATAACCTCGAAACGTTCACAACGCGTCTGCAGCGTCTGCGAGCTACGAGTCTATACAGTAATCTATGGCTACGAGTGTGCGATCTGCGTTTGCGAGTGAAAGAGTAGCCTCATAGCCCGATAGGACAGTACCTAGTATATGTACAGTACAGTCGGGCGAGCAAACGCCGGCCGGTTTGAGTCATGTGACATGTGACTACGACCGGCTGTCGTAAAAATAAGGCATGGGCGCGTAGTGTATATTTTCTTTGGCATGGGTGGCACGGGTGGTGCGGGGAATCGGAATGTGCAAACCCACTTAGGGTTACCTATAACGATATTTCACCTTTTTAAACGAGATTTTAAAATAATATTCATTGAATCAGTAACTAACTAAATAAAAATAATTTAAGTTTCACTAAAATGATTACAAAAATTTAATCTTCGGCAGGCAACAATTTTAAATTCAAATAAATTGAAGTATTTTATAATAAGGTCAATCGCTTATTCAATTAAAAATATGAAAATAGTGTTATTTACGGCATCGATAATTTGGTATTATTATTTTTTGCATTAAATGCAGTTCAAGCAAAGAATAATTAATAGATACAAGCAATGATAGTGTATATTATAAAACTACACTATTACTGGATACAAGTTCAAGCAAAGAGCAAGCGGGCTGAACGTTTATTTTGCCAAATCTTTTAAATTTTTTGTCCCGTTTTCTTGGACATCGTGCACATTTTTGATATTTCTGCAACTTTGCACTAGTTTAACCTTCAGAAGTGTCCTGGTTTATAAGTATTTAGAATATCACGTAAAGTGACTCCCGACTGCCGCGGAAAATTTGTACTCAACGACGACCCCTCATGTGCGGCTCCGCCAATTGTAAAGCTAATATATTTAAACAACTGCTCCAGAACTTGCAGGCACGAGTGTTCAGATGTTTAGCGTCAATATAAAGCACCATATAATGGACACCAGCTTGATCCAGCTAGATACCAGACCTTGGCCGCTTCGATACTTCTATGTTATATAGAAGTATCCAAGCGGCCAACGTCTGGTATTTCTAGCCGAACTATACGTATGTGCAGCATTTCCATGCGTCCGGATAAAGCCGGAAAAGCACACTCAGGCTTTTTGGTTGCGTGTGAGGCTAAATTAGACGGTGTCGGACCTATACGGCTTTTGTTAGGCTTTTTAAATTTTACCATTTTTTACATTTGTATTGCATGATTAATAACAAAAAGACGACGGATTAATTCAATTTTATTGTTATTTCATTAGAATTTAAGATTTTATGATGAATGATAAAAAGCCTTGTAACTAAAAAATTAAAGGTGTCCGGCCTTTTTATCAATATGTCCGGCTAAGCTGGCTGGTCTGTCCGGCTTTTCGGTTTTAAGACCTGGCAACCCTATGTATGCATCATTTTGTCGAAAGTATCTAGTCTACTTCACTTACAATTAATATAAAATATAACTATTATTTCAGAAAGAAACATTATATACTCTCTACGATTTTCTAGCTAATTAGCTTCTTCAGCTACGAAATCTGTCAAATAATATACCTCTGTCCAAAATAACGCCGCCTTGGTGGCAAAAAAAGTCGTGGATGTCGTATTGTTTATCACGACGTAGCACTGGTCTACTTCACCGCAGAATATTCTACTTTGCGTGTTATAGTGGAATTAACACAAGGGACAAAATCACGATAAAGAATATAATTTGAAATTGAATAACTTTGATGTCCCATACATTAAAACGAATGAAACTTCTGTCTTCTGAGATAATACAAAATAGTCAAATCCCAAAATCACGGTATACCTATCATGGCAATAAAAATAATATAACGAATTATGTCGCCTTTAACACGTTTGTATATCCTACAAATAATTGTTTCGGGTCTGGATGTGTGTCCTTGTGCAATTTATGTTTGTAAGTTGCCTCCGCGATACAGGAGAAAATCCAAGTGTGGGGGGTAACGTTTTTATAAAATAATTATAAAAGAATAGTGAATATTAATGGGGCTGTAAATAGATATACGATTAGCTTTATTTATTCTTTACATGCATCAGAAACTGGAATAAATACCATTAATTAGAACTTTACTTATTTTAAAGTTAAAGGAGTTATAATCGATTAGTCTATGTTTTAAAATTGGGTTTTGTTTTTAAAGTTTATCAAAAAATGTACTTGCTTTTCTATCAGACATTTGATGTTGGTATATAAAAAAACACCTTATAATTTATTTGGTAATTTAATTATTTTTGAGAAAGACAAAAACTATAGCAATAAATATAATTAACACTGACTTAATAATAGGTACTAATTATAACTTAGAACATAAATGAATAACTCATGACAAGGAAAGTGGCTCAGGACCATGCTTTGCGGCAGTTGAGTTTGCAGTAGTGGACTTGTGAAGAGTTGTAATGATGATGATGATTCGAAAACTTGCACGATTGAATTATAAGAAATCGACGCTTTTTATATGGGATAGGGTGACAAACGAGCACACAGTTCACCTGATGGTAAGTGGTTGCTGTGGCCCACAGACATCTACATCTATCCTCGATTACGAATCAAAATGCAGATGCGTTGTCACCCGTGAGGACTAAGATGGAATGCCTCGTTTCCTTTAAAAAGTGTCTCTGGTTCTCTGCACTCACTATACGAAACACAGCATCATTAAGCTACTATTTTACATTGATATTCTGTGAGAGCGTGGTCCTTCCCCGGTCGAACCGACCCATTGGTGCTACAACTATACTTCTAATATGTTACTGTATGGTTCTACCACGTATAAACGACGTGCTTCATTTTTTTTTCATTTTAAAATTGTTCTCGTAATAATCTGATTGTAAATAAATGTTCATTATTATTTTTTTAAACAGGTTACCGATTAAAACAAATGTTTAAAAATAATTAAATCGCGCTAATTAAAGTCGTAGGAATGTTTAAAGTTGAAATTGGCACTAAAAGACTGGTAATTGGGGCATCCAACCTACAAAGCTTCAATATAAAATTTAAATCAAATGCGTGTAATCACTCTGGGAGCTTGTAGCAAACTAAACGCGCGGCCAGGGTTGCCGTTCTACAAATTTTAAAGTCCCTAGACTAACAGAAAAAATCCGCCAGAAAAAGGATTTTGCCTTTTCTTAAAATCCGCTAGATGTCCCTAGGAATATTTTCGTGGAACCATTGTGTTAACTGAAAAATCTTGTCTAATGGTCAATGAATACCGAAAATCTAAATCTATAAATTCAGTAAAACCTTAAAAAGGAGCGCACTCTATTTCAAATAAATCAGTTATTTATAGTGTAGGTTATTGATATGACAACCAAAACAAAAATTATTCATGTACAAAATATAAAAATATTGTAAAAAAAATAAATCTTAAATCTTTAAACTACTTTTAAACATTAGTCATATTATTAAAAATAAAACAATTAGCTCAGTACGTTCTTGTACCTAAATTTCAAAATTAATAGCGAAGTATGGATCCAAATCTTCAAAAAGTACTTCAGTGGAAGTTGAAGCTTCGTCAATGTCTCCAGTTTACATCTTTGGTTTGCCTTTATCGACTTGGTTGACAACATCTTTGGGAATATCATTCGTTGCGCAATTATTTTTTTAATCCTTAACTGATTTCTAATCAGAAGAATAGAATTTAAAGTTTTATCTTCTTATAAAATATTGCTTTTAACTACATTCATAGCACCAAATACGCATTCAAATTCTGCATTTGAGTGCGGTAGTCATATTACTATTGCAAAATTACATAAATCTTCGAATATGTTTACTCTTGCTGCATTTTTGTATGTCGAAACCTTAGAACCGTGGTCTAAGGTCGAAACAGATGAAATTTAATGAACGACATTGAATTGTTAGTTTATGTTCGGGAATTCTCGTGAAATTATATAATATATAGAGTGTTACCAACGGTAGATTACAAAATTGGGCATATGATAAATGACTTATTTGGAATGAATTACTTTATAAAAAAAAGTCGCCATCTCAAAAGTTCAAATGTCGCTGGAAGTCGCTAAATAATTTTTTCTCGCTAAAGCGATTTTTTTTATCCGCTAAACATTGTTAAAATCCGCTAGATCTAGCGAGAAAGTCGCTAAAACGGCAACACTGCGCGCGGCCAACGTGTGGACGCGGCGACCAAACTCTGCCAACAATCCTTTGATCTTTTGTAAAAAACCGACACCACACGGATCTCGCGCCAACTTGCGGGCCATCGTTCCAATACATACCAATGAAGCCCAAACACCCCGTCTACACGTTGGCCAATGCTATTGGCCACTACATTCGCCACTGTGTTGGCCAACGTGTAGAGGCGCCGTAAAAAAGATAGCCGTTTGAGTAAAAATTACGAAAACGCTACTTTGACAGAATCACCAGCACGGCGCTGGGTCGAGAGTGAAAATTGCTCAAACGTGTGACCCTCGCTTCACTCCCATTTATATCTTTCTATTTTCTGACATTATTTTAAAATTTAATTAAATGGTACTTCATCGACCTAACGGGATGTATCGAAAATTTATAATACGTTGTAAGTATAGAAATTTAATTAAAATAATTTTTTGAACATCAGTATACTAAAAGCCTTAAATTTGCCCAGAGTTTTTTCTACTTCTTTCGAACTGATTTTATAATATAATAAACTAAAAAGTAAAGTTTTTTCTATTACTCACCGCATTAATATCATTATTTGATTGTGGCTTTTATCAACAAATACCACCACCAACAAGACCAGCAGAATATTTGTAATAATAAAGATAAGTTAAATATTTGTCAAAAATCGGGTGTTTATAAACTTGTTTGTGACGAATGCCACGCCGTTTACGTGGGTCAGACCGGTCGCAATTTCGGGACGCGTTATAAAGAGCATTTGGCCACGTACAGAAATTGCAATCCTGATAAATCCCATTTTGCTAAACATCTTTTGGACACTGGACACAACCTAGCCAGCGACCATTCCTTTGAAGTCTTACATACTTGTAGTAAGGGGATGCGGCTATGTGTGCTGGAACAGTTGGAGATTTAAAAAAAAATAATGGTAACAATGCACTGCTGAATGAACAAACAAATGTTTCTAATTCACCTTTGTTAAACATCTTTAAGGCTAATCTTTAATAATAATTTTAAAATTAATAATAATAAATAACTATAATAATATCAATATAAAAACAATAATAATAATAATATTTAAAAAATATTAATCATAACAATTAGTCGCAGGTTTGTTATCGCGCGGCGCGGTCACTCGCTACTTTGGTGGGGAGTGGTTGTGTCGGCGTGTATAAATAGCAGCTGTTTCGGCTCGCCGCTCACTTAGCGGTCAGTCGCCATAGAGTCTACATTACCTGAGGATGCTTCGTGTAGAGGCGAAATACGTGTCGTATTGTCGTCGATGGTGTGTCTTACCTGGAATAGTGGTGTTGGAAGTAGTGGTACTGGGACTAGTGGTGACGGAGTTAGTGCATGCAATTGAGGGAGGGCGGGAGGTGCTCTTCAATCCATCATTGTAATTAGTTAGCGGAAGGTTGCAAAGTAATAAATTATTTATTATAATGGATTTCCGCAAAGTAACGCCTGATTCTATCAATTATCACAAAAATAATTAATTTAGGTGAAAAACTAAAGTTTAAAAGTTACATTAATTATAAAAATAAATAAATAATCACCGTCTAAAACCATTTTCTGGTTGCAAGTAGCATAGCCTATTTCATGTCGTAAATAAGAAAGCACAGAGCATCTTCCAAGGTATGAGGTTCCTCTAGCTTGGAAAAGGTCTACATTACAGTAAATTATTGTAGGATAATGAAATCTGTACAAAAGGTTGTTATTACACTATGTATTCCATTTAACATTTTGTACGTGGTAGAGCCATGCTGCTCTTAAAGCTACATTACAGTTGTAGCACTTTAATTGCAACAATATAGTGAATTGTCTCCACCGGCCTTAAAAGAACAAGTTAGATTGTGGTAGAGCCATACTGCAGCTATATTATGGTTTTAGCACGAATGAGTCGGCTAAACTGGAGGAGGACCACGTTCTCACAGAATACCAGGGTGAAATACCAGCTTAATGCTTCTGTGTTTCATATTGGGAGTGTAGAGAACCGAAGGCCCTATTAAGTGGTAATGAGGTATTCCATCTTAGTTCTTAGGGATGCCAATGTAGAACAAAATGCATATATGCATTTTTTCATATATCCACTATAGATCTAGATGTCTATGGGTCTCGACAACCACTTACCATCTGTTAGATGATGTGCTCGTTTGTCACCTTTATTCTATAAAAAATCCAGCACACCATTCAAGTGGTTCAGCACTGCTTGAATAGTATAATCATCATCATCATCATCATTACAGCCCTTCACAAGTCCACTGCTGAACATAGGCCTCCCCCAAGTAATGCTACAAAGCACGGTCCTGAGCCACCTGCATCCATCGACTTCCTGCATGTCTTACCAGGTCGTCACTCAATTTAGAGGGGGGTCGCTCTACACTACGCCTACCGGTACGAGGCTGCCACTCAAGAACCTTTCTTCCCAATCGGTTATCAGTTCTTCGAGCTGTATCGCCGGCCCATTGCCACTTCAGCTTACTAATCCGTTGGGCTACGTCGGTCACTCTGGTTTTACTGCGGATATGCTCATTTCTGAGTCTATCACGCAGAGAAACTCCGAGCTTAGCCATCTCCATAGCTCGCAGAGCGACCTTGAGCGTCCTCATACTGGTCGTATGGCATTGAAGGCCCACGTCTCAGATTCGTAAGTCATCACTGGCAACACGCACTGGTTGTACAATTTAGTTTTCAGAGTTTGAGGTATACCTGACGAGAAGATGTGTCGTAATTTCCCGAACGCTGCCCAGCCGAGTTGAATTCGTCGATTGGCCTCTCGGTCGAAGTTGGACTTACCTAGTCGTACAATTTGTCCCAGGTAAACGTACTCGTCAACAACTTCGAGCATAGTGCCCCCAACAACTACCGGCATAGGTGAGACTAGGGCTTCCATTCCGTAATTACGCAAAAAAAATTAAACTTCTTGCAAGTCCGTAACTGAAGGGTTGAAATCCATAATTACGTAAGTATAAGTCCTTATTATCATCATCATCATATCAGCCTATTTCTACCCACTACTGCTAGGTGAAGGGTTTTAATAATAAATAAAAATAATATATAAATCAATTTAGCGACTTATTACATACAAAATCCTCTTTTTTAAACAGTATGACATGATAACCCAGCCAACATTGAAACAGAACGAGCGGGTATTTCCCCGTAGAGAATAAATTCAATCCGGAATATAATCTGTAGCTCTCGGTAATTCCCCGCGCTATATTTCAGTCTTGGATAACGTAGGACAATAATTCTCTTTGACACGTAAGTAATAGAGTTTAATTTTGGTAAACAATAGGTCACAGGGAATCCCCGCGTCTTTCTATGTGTGAGATTAGCTCTGATTTATTTTTAATGTATGAAAGAAAGTCTCTTTGTAGTATATATCTCTTAGTAGTAATAGTTTTTTGTTAAGTGACTGATGTGTAATTTTGAACACTTCTTCGCGGGAGAGATTTCATTTAGTGTATGAACGTATGGAACCACAACAAATATGTAAGTACTGAAATAAAATCTATTATTTTATTTATTTTTCAAACGGTGAGACTGTGTATAAATTGTGATATGATTGTTTTATTATTGAATCTAACTAATGTGGCATAGGTATAAACGTTTGCGTGCGAGTTGCGAGGTTTTAAGCTTTTAAGTCGCACGTTTGTATGTTAGTTTTGTCCGCGCGTATCTCAAAAAATATCATTTCGTTCGACGATAATTAAATATATAGGCTAGCACCGACGGAAAAAAATAGTTGGCATCTTTATTATCTCCCTTTCACTTATCCATTAATAAATTAAAGTTTTGAAGGCGGTTTATTTTATAAAAATATTTTTATTTTTGTTTGTTTGTCCTTTTTCCACGTCAAAGCGGAGCAACAGTTCATGATTTTTTGTACAGATATAGTTGGTGGACTAGAGAGTGCTATATCAAATATTACCTACATACTTACTTACTATTTAGTTGTTAATTAAATTGTTTTACCTAATTGTTTTAGGTTGTCAATAAAGAAGACAGTTTTCAAGGAGTTCTTAAACAAACGGACAACATCTTCAATCTGGGAACATTTTTTAAGGGCCGATAATGGACAAACCGTCGAGTGTAAACAATGTAAAAAAGTTTTAAAAACGCCTGGTGGTGCAACTGGAGCATTACATACCCACTTGCGGGCCAAACATATCACTGAAGTGCCACGAGCGAGTACTTCAACATCAGAGTCCGATAGTGCTCAAATTCAAGAAAAAAGGAAGGGCGCCCCGGCCCACATGAAGCACCCCAAAAGAAAACTAAACTCACGGATTATTATGTAAGCGACTCTTCCATGGAGTTAAGAATGACTAGAATGGCAGCATCGGATGGTATCCCGTTGAGCAAATTTTGTACTTCTGAAGACCTAAGGCATGTTTTCAAAAAATCCGGCTATGATCTACCGAAATTGCCAACAACTATAACCAGGATAGTTTTAGAGCTACATGATAATACAAAAAACGTACTGATACGTCTTTTAAAGGAAATGAAGTCCCAAAACAAAAGATTTACAATGACATTTGATGAGTGGACCTCTACCCGAAATAAAAGATATATGAATATAAATATCCACAGTAAAGATCTCGAACCAGCTAATTACAAAAATTTGGGTCTGGTGAGAATAAAAGGTTCAATGCCAGCAGATGTAGGAACTCAGCTAATACAACAACATTTGAGCAACTTCGGACTTAGCCTCGAAGACATAGTTGCTTTCACAATAGACGGAGCCAGCGTAATGGTTAAAATTGGCAAAAACAATTGACGGCCACCATCAATTGTGTTTCTCCCACGGCATACAACTTGCGGTTCTTGATGTGCTATATAAGTCAAAGAACCAGTCAACGCGCAATCCCAACCCAGAGCAGCAAGATAAAGAACTGGATTACGACTCTGAAGATTCTGAAGAACACTATGGAGGATTTGATATCGAAGTACCAAGAATTCCAGAATCTGAATTTCTTTACAAAGATACTATAAAAAAAGTACGAGATTTGGTTATATCTTTTAAAAAGTTACCCTTGAAAAATTAATTGTTGCATAAATACTGTATAGAAGAATGTGGAAAGGGCTTGGATCTTATGCTCGACTGCAAGACTAGGTGGAACAGCTTGTCGGATATGATTGGCCGATTTTTAAAATTAAAATCAAGTGTCATGAAGGCATTACTGGATTTGAAATCAAATATAAATTTTACAGTAAAAGAAATCCAAGACCTGCACGATATTCATCATAGTTTAGATGTTATAAAAACAACTGTGATGTCTTTGTGTCGCCGGGATTCAAACTTATTGACGGCAGATGCTGCTCTTCAGTTTATGTTAAATAAACTTGATCATCAGCACAACGAACTCAGTGAAAGGCTTGCTATTTCCCTTAGAAAAATAATAAAAGAGAGACGAACGAGTGTATCTGGTATTTTACAGTATTTGCATAACAATGAACAATTTTACAAAACCATACCAACAGAAACCTTCACAACAAACGCTGAAAATTAACAGCTAACACAACGTCTGCACAGACAAGTCAAAGTCCAATACAACAAATAAGCACAGGACATACTGACTCCAGTGACGAAGAGTTAACTGTGGCCCAGGAATTAGAAAGAGATATGTAAAGCCACGTCACAGGTAAACAAATCTACGGTTAACACAGATCTTGAGTCCATTGTTAGAGTGGAAATGTGCATCTATGATAGTGCTGGCGGTGGTCGAGGAGTTTACCTAACAGCAGCGTATAATTATTTACTATCAATTACACACAACAAGTGTTGAAGCTGAACGTGCTTTTTCTTCAGCTGGTTATCTATGTAGTAAATTAAGAAGCTCATTAAGCGATAAAACACTAAACGCGTTGTCGTTTATGAGATCTTATTTTCAGGAAAAGTCAAATAAGTAAAAGAGCATTCTGTTCTGTTATGGAAAAAGATCTCTTTATTTTGTTATAAATCTATCTAATCTAATTTATGTATTATCTTTGTGTTGTGATTTGAGATTAAGTTATATGATTGGTATTCAATAAAAACTTTAGTTTAATCAAAGTTCTTGTAGGTACACTTCTTACATTACCCATTGCTACCTATAAAATAAAGCATTCGATTTCAAAAATATCTTAGAAATTACGTAATTACGTAGTTACGTAATTGGACCACCAAAATTCGTAATCAGTTACGTAAATAAGACATATTCGTAATTTTGGAACCCTAAGTGAGAATGGACATTAAAATGATCTTTGTTTTGTCCATGTTCATCTTAAGACCTAGGATAGTGTGGGATTATATAGTAAGTACAATACTTATCACCTAAAATAAATCAAATCATTTATTGTGTGGATATATATATATATAGTTCTCAATGATTTGAACAAACAACTCGTTGGAATATAATTTTTGATCTTTATCACCAATAAATTATGTTTATACTTTATTTTATCTACAATAATTGCAACCCATAACTCATTCTGATATAAAAAGATTTCACAACAAAGTGTCACATTTGCGTGGTTATTGATCTCTGCCCTAGCTACGATTGCTTGCACGTGACCGCCCACCTTCAACCTTCACCTCCCCTCCCCTAGGCCAAAGTCTTGTCATGATGAAATGAAATGACCTGATGATTTGGTGTATAATACCTCTTACAGTTATTAACATATAATATGATAACATTAACATATAGTGTATAACTATGGATCCGCGCTGGCTTCGCACGGGTGATTTCTGGATCTTGACGACAGCGCTACCTACCGGGTCCAAATATGAATATAAACCTTCTAGGGACCCATTCAAGCACACGCAAATATTTATCAAGATTGTGTGTGACGTAGGTATGTACATTTCATGTGTTTTATATAGATGGATTATATGGATTATTATTTTTACAATAAAAAAAATTCTGATGCAGTTTTAAAGTTTGCGCTTCTGAAGATCGAATAGAAATTTTGAAAATCTGTAAACAATAGGTATTATCTCTATATAAAATCAATAATTGTCCGTTAGTCTCGCAAAAACCTAAAATTGGCTGGACCCATTTTGTTGAATTTTTGTGTATATTTGAGTGGGTCGCTGGATGATTTAAAAATTCAATTGAACTCGGTTGGTAGCGTTGTTGTCGAAATTCAGAGATCAGAAATATATAAATTATAATATGACGGTTTAAATATTTTATTTAAAAAAAAGTTAATGTTAAAGCTACAGCCTCCAGTTCCAGGCCTCCCCTCATTTTTGAGAGGGTTTTAGGGCGAAGGAAGTGTCCGCCACGCTGCCACAATGCTTGTTGGCAAACTTCACATGACTTCGAATACTTTTTTCTTATTTCTCATACATGCAGGTTTCCTCACGATATTTTTCCTTCACCGCCGAGCACGTGGTAAATCAGCACTTAAAATTGCAATTAACAATTTCATTGGTGCCGGTGGGGATCGAACCCGATTTGCTCGAGTACTGTGAAATTTACAGCGAGCGCTAACCATCTGAGCTACCACGGCTCCAATATTTATTTACTTATATTTTACAACTATTTTTAATAAGAATAGTCAAACTGTCCACTAAAAATATACATATTTATTAAACCAAGAAAGGTTTCACTACTAAGGACATTTATTTTCGTGTTTTATCATCGGATTCAGGTTCTTAATATTTTTCTCTTTCTTTTCATTAAACGCACACTAGGAATATCGTCTGTATCGTAGATTCGTAGAGTAGGTTTCCGTTACTGTTACGGCATATCACAAGTCCACTGCTGAACGTAGGCCTCCCCCATAGATTAAGATAGGGGAACCTTTCCATTGTTGCTAACTTTGGCCGGCGGAGGGGCTAGCATCCGCGGTTCTTTATTTTTAGTTATTATAGGTGGACGCGGCTGCCCATCTCCTGGTTTGTTTCAGACGGACTTTAAAATTCCACCTTATGGTAAGTTGTGATGAAATCCTACATGGTGAGTTGCACTGTCTTAGTGTGACAAAAACCTACCTACTATTGCCTTAAAGACGACGCAAATTGTAGTTGGAGGTAAAAACAGACTCCGGCAACTTTTACTCTCCTGTGCTGTATGCATTACGTACAATGTAATTTGCTTGGTTCGCCTGCCGACACAGCGCCTGGTTTTCCGATGGTGAAAAGGGGAAGTGTTTCTAACGCACACGCTCTCTGATGCTCTTGTGGAACAGAGCGCCTATTCCACCGAGCTGTCATGAAATATAACCTACTTTACCTAACTTAGGTAATTTTCTTCTTTAATAAATAAAACCGAATTATAGACACATCAGAGAAATGCATACAGCATAATGTATGGGATGAATTAGATGGAGAAACTGATTTTGTTATAAAATTATGTAGCGATGAATATTTTGATAATTACTTTCATGTCGCAAACTACAAAATTCCTAAATTAACATCTGCAGTACGAATAATCTGTATGAATTATGGATGTAAACAAACAAGTATCGTGACGTGAGTATAGCGAATGTGGCGAATGTAGCGGGGATCGGCGACAACTTCGCGCCAATCCTAACAAAATGCACAGAGTGCCTTTGTATAAACTGACAAAATGTGCCTACAACCCTAACTCCATCGTGGACGCCGACAGACTCGGAGCGACGACGCCGAGACCGATTTGGTGTCGATGTCGTCGTACCGCGCTGCACTTCAAACCTGGGTCCGAAAATGTGTAAGCGTCATGATAACTGATAACATGATAACCATCTATTCGCTACGAAAATTGCCTAATTCTTTTCTGCACTAGTGTCAAGGATCTGGCTGGATCTTTAATTATTGACTATATTGACCCGACACTTAGTTGGAGTTTACAGGTGTCAGAGATTTATCTTAAAGTCACAGGCATACTTCGTTCCATTTATCGTCTAAAGTTCTTTCTGCCCCTTTCAACTAAGCTTCTACTCACCCAATCTGTTACGGCCCTGAGTTACCCCGACAAAGGTCGATTGAGCTAGGGTCCACAGTATTGGTAATTAAATTAGAACGGTTAGATACGCAAACACAAAACTTACCGAATTCCAGAAGTATAAGTTCTACCACAAGGTGGCGTCAGGGGCAAGTAAATGGGAGTGGGTGAGTAGTGTAGGAAAGTGTGTAGTGTAACCTGACGTCACCAATACGATCAGATAGCAGCACCACGTGCGCCGATCGCTCCACAAGACGAGCACGCATTATAATCGCGCGCGATCTACACCGGGATCACAAAAAATTATGCCTAAACACAATCACTAATTCTTCCATTATTTGACTAAGCCGATGTTTGTCTCTCTAATATCTCTCAGGAGCTGCTCAGCAGGTTGGAAACGTTACTTAACAACTGCATACGATTCATCTTCGGCCTGCGCAAATATGATCACGTATCAGAATTTCACTCCCAGTTAAAGTGGTTGACTATACGCCAGCGCTGAGATTTTCGAATGCTGTACACTCTATTTTCAGTTCTTAGATTCTTCCTCACCCCTTTATCTAAAAGAAAGATTCCTATTCCGTAGTGACACTCATTCTCTCAATCTCCGATCTTCACACAATTTATTACTGTCTACTCCTCTCCACCATTCTGGGTTTATGTCAAATTCTTTCACAGTAACTTCTATCTCCCTCTGGAACAAGTTGCCTGTTGACCTGGGAATAATACCAGCCAAAAACGTTTTTAAAAGAAAACGATACGAACATATCAGTACATGAGAGCCGTGGTAGCTCAGATGGTTAACGCTCGATGTAATATAACAGACCGCGAGTAACCCGGGTTCGATCCCCGCCGGCACCAATGAAATTGTTAATTGCGATTTTAAGTGCTGATTTACCACGTGTTCGGCGGTGAAGGAAAACATAATACATAAACATAAACACTCACGCCTGTCACCCAGAGGGGTAGGCAGAGACTACGGACTTCCATTTGGCACGATCCTGACATACCTCTTTCGCCTCCTTTACATCCATATATCTACGCATACATGCTCGTCGGTTAAGGGTACTTCTAACGTGGCCCATTTTCAAAATATCGCCAATTTGGTCGATAAACTTTTTCCTAGGGCGTCCCTTCCCGACTCGGCCATTCACATCTGCCATATAAATTTGCTTTGTCACTCTTTCCTCATTCATTCTTTCTACGTGACCAAACCACCGAAGCATTCCTTTCTTAATCCTGGTCGCAACATCATCTTGCATACCACATTTATCTCTTATCACGCAATTTCTCACCCTGTCATTAAGATTACACCCTAGCATATTCCTTAAAGACCGCATTTCTACAGCATTTATTTTACTTTCGTGCTTCTTCTGCCACACCCAGCTTTCACTACCATACATTAAAGTAGGGACTAACACAGCATTATGAATTACCATACGTGCCTGTTTTGACAAATTCTGGTTCTTCATAATAGAGTGTAGTGCCCCATTCACTCTATTCCCTGCATTTACTCGTCGTTCTATATCCCTATCATATCTACCATCCCTGCTAAATACACATCCCAAATACACAAACTCATCCACTTGCTCAATCAACTC